TATTGGCGTCACTCAAGTTAAAGTAACCTACGAAGGTATCACCAAACACTTGCAAGCCGTGATCGTTAAATCTAATAAAAATGCGTTATTGGGACGTATGTGGATTAATGCCTTTAGTAATATTTTGAACAAATTTATAGCAAACATTGATACCAACTATGAAGATGAAATAAAGAAATTAATAAAAGATTGCGAATCTAAACTGACTAAAAAACCGATCAACAAAGGGAATGTCAAGATATATCTACGTAACGATGCCAAACCGAAAATCATACCACCTAGACGGTTACCTTATTCAAAGATAGACGCTGTTACTAGAGAACTTATGAGATGGATAGGAGATGGAGTCATTGAGCCTGTAACAGATGTCCGATGGGCAAGTCCAATAACCGCTGTCTACAAGGATAATGGGAGCGTTAGGGTTTGCGCCGACTTCAAAGACACTGTCAACCCAGCCCTTGAGGACTTCAGATACCCACTTCCAAGAATAAATGACCTTATCGCTAAGCTCAAGGAAGGGAAGAAGTTCACCAAGATAGATTTCAAGGATGCGTTCCTACAAATTCCCATCGATGAAACCTGCAGAGACATATTAACTATATCTACACACAGGGGGTACTACCGGTTTACCAGACTTCCTTTTGGGTTAAAGACTTCATCTGCGATTTTTCAACAAATTATGGATCAAATTTTCAGTGACATGAAAGATGTCATATTTTATATTGATGATCTACTAATTACGGGAAGTAGTGACGAAGTTCATTTCAACAACATAAAGAAGGTTTTTGAAAGAATACTATCTCATGGTTTAGTGCCTAATTTTGCAAAAAGCTTATTTTTCAAAAAAAGTCTAAGGTTCTTAGGACACGACATCGACGCCAAGGGGATCCACGCCAACCATGATAAGATCGAGGCGATCGTTAAAATGCCGGAACCAAAATCAGCCGCGGAATTGTCAACGTTTCTAGGTATGGCCGGGTACTACAGAAAATTTTTGAACAACTTCGCTGAAATAGCTGATCCTTTATACAAGATTGTTAACAAAGAAAAATGGGAGTGGAATTTAGAACACTCCAAAAGTTTTGATGATCTAAAGACATTGATTAGTCTTCCTCCAGCTTTGACGTACTTTAATCCTGAACTACCTATCGGAATTGCGACTGATGCATCTAAAAGAGGTTTAGGAGCTGTTTTGTTTCACACTGAAAAAGATGGCAAAGAAAAACCGATAGCTTTTGCATCAAGAACTTTAGCAAAATCTGAAACAAACTATACCAATATTGAGCGTGAAGCTTTGGCCATTATGTTTGCTATCAAGAGATTTCAAGAATACTTGATAGGGACTAAGTTCACTATTATAACGGATCACAAGCCGCTAATCCATATTTTCACCAAAGGGCTCAAAGATAATAGCACCATGTCATTAAGGTTACAGAAGTGGAGTATAATTTTGGGGGGTTACGACTTTAACATCAGATATAAGGCTGGTAAATACAATGTTGTTCCCGATTGCCTCTCAAGACTACCACAAGTAATTGATGATGACGTTACTGATGATATCGCGATTATAAATGACTTTGGCGATATACCTCTTAGTTTTGACCGAATACGTGATGAAACATCCAAAGATTTTGAATTATCTCAAGTTATGAATGATATAAGAAATAATGTGCCTATCCAAAATAAAATTTATGAAAATATTGAACAAGAACTAAGTATCATTAAAGATTGTCTGTACAAAAGCGACAAAATAATAATTCCGTCAAGTCTGAGAAAGAACATACTGAAGGCGTTACACGAAGGTCATTTGGGAGCAGGTAAAATTAAATCCTTAGCCAAAGATCGTATGTGGTGGTCTGGTATGGTCAACGACATTGATTTGGAAGTCAAAAGTTGCGATGATTGTAATATTTATCATGACAATCCAAAGAAGATACAAAATCCATGGGTAGCAGCGACTAAACCATTTGAAAGGATACACATAGATTATGCGGGTCCGTTTTTTACAAAGAATTGGTTGATAATCGTTGATGCTTATAGTAAATTTCCAGTTATAGTTCCGGTAAAGAGTATTACGACTGAATTCACGTTAAAGGAAATTTATAAAACTATTTCACTATTTGGTATACCTGAAACCATTGTTACAGATAATGGTACCAATTTCACGAGCAAAGATTTTGAAAAATTTTGTAGCAATTATGGTATAAAACATGTACTAACATCGGCCTATCATCAGCAATCTAATGGACAAGCTGAACGTATGGTGAGAACATTTAAAGCTCATATGAAAAGAAACATAAAGATTGGCTTAGAAACTGCGCTGGACAGATTTTTGTTCAACTATAGAAACACGCCGAATGACACTACGGGAGTTACACCGTCCAAAAGAATGTTTAACCGCGACATTAGAATAAAGTGGGATTTATTAAAACCTTTGGAGGATAAAGTTGGTGAAGTCTTCATGTCGTTACCACGAAATCGAACTTTTAATAGAGGAGACTATGTTTGGTATAAGAAACAGGGTGATGATACGTGGTGCAAAGGCAGCATCAAGCTTAAAGAGAGTAACACCATGTTTCAAGTTTATACTGATAAAGGGATAGTAAGTAGGCATATTGATCAGTTAAGGAAAAGAGAATGTTACAATAGTTTAAAATATTATGAAATTGACCCTAAAAATTCCTCTAAAGGGGGAAGTGTGGACACAAAGAATGAGATTAAGATACCAATTACTAGACCAATAAGAATTAAAAATAAACCTGATTACTTAAAAGATTACGTGCTTAAAATTTAAATATAAAATGCTTAAAACGCTAAAAGTATAAAACGCTATAAAAAATAATATAATAATCGTTATGATTTATCATTCCTTATTCTGGATTTTATTCCTTATTCCATAAATTATCATTCCTTATTACATATTTTATTGTTCCGAAATTCAAAATTTTATTTGTGCATATTATTCATACATTTGATTTGATCAACTATTCCAAATTACATATTCCGATTTATTCCAAATTCCAATATTCAACTGGATTAATGATAATAACAATTTTGAGAAATGTGAACAACATACGATAAGGATATCAAACCAACGATAACGTTCAACGATTTTATCAAACCTACGCGATTGATTCAAGCCTACAAAAAACGTACAAACTCACGCAACTCTAATAAACGATTTTATCAAACCTACGTGATAGAATCAAGCCTACGAAAACATTTGAGACTTATGCGCTAACCAAGATAAAACCGAGTACAATCGAAACAGGAAAAACTTCTAGGACAACAAGCTCTCGATGACTGCTGAGAAGAAGCTTCGTTATTTGTAGAAGAGGGGGAATGTTGATTGATTTAAATTTGAATATTATTTATTTTATATGTTGATTGATTTAAATTTGAATATTATTTATTTTGTATTTAAGTTGTTCAATTAACTTGTAAATTTTATATATATATATAATGTTTTTAGATGAAAAATATAGCAATAAAAATATTTAAAATAAGTCCTTACAATTTTTTATTATTTACAAAGGGAATGGCAGAAAAATCAATTATTAAAGAAGATATCGAGGATATCTCTGAATATTACAATTTAAATTCAAGTCAAATTTTCAAAGAAATGTTGAAGTTTAGAAATATTTATAAGATGGCCAAAATGGGGAATGTAATTATTACTCATGACCTAGAGGTTCAAGAATCTAAAGATTTGTCAGATTCTGAGAATTGTAAATTTATTTAATTAAAATATTTTTACCAATACATTATTTAGCTTCTTCTGATGATGATGATAATTCAGGGACTAACGATTCAGATTGGAAAAACTATTCATTTATTTTACCTTATCGTTTACTTTTTAATTTTTCTGCTTTCCCTAATTTAAGAATTTTATATAAATATTTATTAACCATTCCCACAACCTCATGTACTGCCGAAAGAGTCATGAGTAAAATTAAATTAATTACAACAAGACTTTGTAATACCATGAAAGATTCTTTTCTCAATAATTTAACTATATTATCAATGGAAAGTTTTTTATTTAAACAATTAAATACTGATGAAATTATAAATTCTTTCGCTTTCTCTCCCCCTAATTTATCTAAATTATTAATTTAAAAATAATATTTATAAAGTTATATTTTTTGCATTTTATTTATATTATATATTAAAAATTGATACATTAAAAATTATTTTTTAAATTTATAGGTGTCATAATTATCATTTTTTCGAAGGGGGGATGGTATCAAAGGGGGGGGGGAATATCGAAGGGGGGATACTTTTCAAGGGGGTACTTTTAATGGGGGTATTCTGCTTCATTTGCTCAAAATGTGTAGGGGCCACTGGCTACACCATAATTCTTCTAAGTCAAGACATTGGCTCATCGATAACAAAAGAAATACATCTTTGCAATTTTTTTTTTAGAAAACGCAGCGAATTAAAGAGGATTTAGTAAGGTACGAAACTATCCCCTCTGCATCTTTTGATTCCATTTAAATTATTTAGAAATTTAAATAAACGTGACCCCCCCCTCCGTCCGATTACATCCCTGCTTCTAAAAATATCAAAATTTATCAAATATATAGAAATATTTTGCTCAATCCGGTTAACAAAATATTACCAGAGTTCCACATTCTGACAGAGTAACGGGCTGGGCTGGGCATTGGAGATCTCTAATTCATAGCTTATAATTATATTTACAAAAACAGGTAACTTCTTGTTAGGGGGTGAGAATGAGTGGAAAAAGTATAGGGTGAATAATTATTATCTCAAAATGATATATATCTACAATAAAAAGGCAAATTCCAAAGTGGAGGGGGGGGGGATCTCTTCCTTAGCTCCGCCTAGGATGATAGTTAACAAACTGCTAAATAATTGATGATTAGTAACATAACTAATAGTTATTATTAGTAATATCCATAAGATTAATTTATCAAGAATATTTAGTATTTATATATAAAAACATTTCTTATTGAATATAATATGAACTAAGATTTTTTCATTTAAATTTAAAAACAGTAAAAAGAATTGAATGTCAAAAAATTCGCATGCCTTGCTCACTATTTGAAAGATGATATAATATTTCTATTTATATTCCATGTAACAATCAAGTATGATTTTTATGATATATGGTGATTTGAATTTATGCCTAAACATATATGATACATATAGATTTGCAAATAGCTTATCTTGATTTTTTGCTATGGTTTGGTATATTTATAAATCATTTTTTTTATAGATACTAAGATATCATTGTAAATATTTGTATTTAGTTTATCTCAATTATAAAACTTAATTTTATAATAATATTACAGTAGGCAATTATTAATTTATTATATAATAATCAATATATATAGATTACCTAAAATTATAAGTTAATTAATTTTTACTAATCTTATAATAATATAAGTAATAATTTGGATAAATAGATATTTCTATTTCATGAGAGTAAAATATTTCAATGTATTAGAATTTTTATTGATCTTAAGCAGACATATGCTATATGTGGTATTGGTAAACTTATTTTTTTTTTTACTAAACATAATTATTAAATCTGAAAAAGTTTGGTTTACTAAATGCTTTATAGAATAATATTAAAAATGTATTTACTTCTCTCACATTAAATGATTATTGCCTATTTACATGCATTGTAATCAAACTTTATAAAATCTATATTTTTTAAATTTATTTTTTGAAAAATTTTTAACCTTGAACATATTTTTATTAAAAAAACTTCTTTTATATTAACATTTAGAATAATTATTTTATAGGATAGGTATATTTGTTACTTTATATCTTTTTGTCTAGCTAATGTTTGACAATTATGCTAACCTGATTGATTGATATAATATTTGTCACAAACTTTGTTAAATTAATTGCTAAAATGTTACTATTTCAGATTTCAATAATGAATATTTACATTTTATATACATTTATATAAAGGTGCACTGATATCAATACCTTGATAATGGTATTGGCCAATATTTATGGTATTATACTTGATCAGAGATTGACACAGCCTGAAAGCATGGCCTGGATATAATGGGCAAAAATTTTTTAGGCTGGACAACTTGTGCAAAATATTTATACTAGAGGCCTGCAGACGTACCATTTGCACAGCTTGGGAAAAAAATTTGGCCTGGCCTAAATTTTTTTAAAAAACATTATATTTATTTTTAAATTTTTATCAATAATAATGGTGATTTAAAATATTTGGTTTTAAAATATACGCCCCAGGTATTTTTTCGACCCATGTGTATATTTTAAAAAATGGCCCAACAATGCTGGGCCTTCAAATCTCTGATTTATACACACTAGGCTGATCAAAGCTTTTAGTTAGGCAAATTTATGTTTTTTTCTTATAAAAAGAATGATTGATGGGCAACTTATATAATATTATTTTATGAGTGGACAAAAAATCTATGGGCTGGGCCAAATGATTTTTTAAAAATATCATTTGGTCAGTTTTGACAGACTCCTGATTCCACTTTTTTACTGATACCAATATGTTATTGATTGGCTAATACCACTGTTACACCAAGTTTTTTTAAAATGAAATTAATTCATGGGATAGAAAAACAAAATTAAAATAACATTTTATTAGAAAAAAATATTAAAAAAACTACTAAAAAATTGACAAAATTATTGCAAAATACAAAAAAACAATGCTACTAACATTGAGAAGACGATGAATTTTTTAAAAAATCTATCAATTATTTTTAAATTATAAATTTTTTTAAATTAAATTTTATTTTTTAAAACATTCAAAATTTTATAAAATATTTAGGTAAGGGTTGGGTGAAAATGTTCAATAAGGAAATTTTTTTAAAAAAATTAGCAATTATTTTTATAATTAAAATTTTATTAATTTTTTTACTTTTAAAATTATAATATACTAACAAACCTCACCACATATAAACTTTTTTATTGCTTGAGAAAAGGGAAAATATTGGAATTTATAAATGTAAATTTTTCTCAAAACACATTTTTCAAGTAGCAGCAGATTAATGAATCATAATATAAATTGTGTAAGAATAATAAATGCTCAAGCAGAAAAATGACATTTTGCTATTAACATGAACTTCATAAGCATGTGATAACCCTCTACCACCCTGTTCACAAAATTCAATACAACCAATTTATATTCCAATAAAGAATGTTCACGAATGCTTGATTGTCTATATTTGTATTGTAAAATTTATTGTATTTTAAAATTTTTAATGAAATTTCTAAAATATCAATATTGTAGCAGTAAAAAAAAAGGAAAAACGGTTTTTTACATTCCTATTTAAATCCAAAATAATTATTTGTAAAGATATAAGACTTTTCTCAGTATATATTTCCACATAAATATTATTTTTGATGACCATGTTTTTAAATTTTAATGAAGATTATCATCATAATTTATTTTCTTATCATTATGAGCCGATTTTTAAAAAGCGATCTCAATATTTTATTAGAAAAAATATTATGCAAGCCTTAAGATTTTGTTAATAGGTGGCACAAATTGAACATCTATTAGCGAAATCTCAAGGCTTAGACAATATTTTTCTGGCTAAAATTTGAGTTAGCCGTTTTTAAAAATCGGCTTAAATCGAGCCGTTTAACAACACTAATTAGAGTCTAATATTTTATTTTAAATTCTTTCTTTCTTCTATCTGTTTAGAAATTTGTCAATTGATTTTCTTTCTTATCAATACATGGCTTAATATACTAATTTTTAAATATTTTTTTTATAGGGGTTAATTATTATTTTGGGTATTAATAATCTTATATATAAAAATAAATCAATAATTTGCATACAATAAGTGATGAATTGATAAGAAAATAAAATGATTTACAAATTTCAAAACAAGTTATGCTGCATCTTTTTGAAATGGTTTAAATAATCAAAAATTATTTTTAGGGAAATGAACACTGGGAAAAATCTTATGCTTTTTTTCCAAATTAATGTTTTTTTAAAATTATATTTCATCAAAAAAATTTTTTTATATCAACATTGGCAAAAAAGTGGTATCAGTACATTTTTTATTTCTTTACTCCTACTGGAAAACTTCTTGATTTGGAATGAAATTTAAGTTATAGTTCCCTATTTTTAGAAATATAAATTTATTTAGGATAAATAAACAATGCAGAAAAGTGAATATAGAAGATTTATGTGATAAATTTTTTATAGGAAGCTTTAATAAATGAGTTAAGAGTTTAAAATTACTAATAAAAATAAACACGTTAATCTTATTACATAAAATTATATATTTTTCAAGGTAATTTTATTTTCTTTATCTCAGAAATAGATTTAACAATCATTAAAGTTTTGGCTTATCCTTAGAGTTATAACAGTTTATAATTGTAATTTAAAAGGAAATTATTAAATTATTCTATCTGATGAATATTCTCAGCAATATAAGATTTGCAATCTAATTTTTAAATAGTTAAACATTTTAAAAGGGAGGATATCATTAAATTATTATTCTGGCATCCCCTTCCTTTAGAGCCTGCCATAATTTCCTTTTAAAAATTAAAAATTTTTTTTTTAGAGATAAACAAAATTGGACTTTACAATTTTTTTTTTTTTAATTTTCACTATGGAAGATTTTTTATGCATAAAAATCATAAAAGATATTTGGAATTTTGGGCAAAATTTTATGAAAAATCTTGTTTGAGCATTCTCAAAAATTTTTTAATTTTTTTGATCTAGGCTTGGGTTGGTTTACGGATATTAAAAAAATATTTTTCTGGCTTGGGTCGGGTTGTAAGAGCTGTCCGACCCGAAACCCGACCCAACCCGAGAAATAAATATTAATATAAATATCCTAAATAATCATTATAATTCATAATGTCAATTATAAAACCATATCATTTTTTATTTATCACATTTTATTCTTAAAATGTCAATCAGTATAACATGTCATTTTCAATTATTATTTTATAATTTACATAACAACCATATACCAAACTATTTTATGTGATTATATTTTAGTATATTGCATTGCATAGTTAACGATATTATTACATACTTACTTTCATCATATTCTATTAAGTTAAATAAAATATATTTTACTAATATCTATTTAATTAAATAGCCTCATATTTTCATGTTAAAAAATTATTTCAATGGTTGCCAAATTAAAAAAATGGTGAAAAGATTAAACAGGGTTCCTAGGTCAAAATTAAATTGCGGGAGAAATTTGGTATTTTACGGGTTAAATATGAAAATTGCGGTAGAAATATAAAAATTGCTAAAAAAGTGTCGGCCTTCGTCTGGGACTGTAAATTATCTTAGTTTATCCCCTTATTAATTCTTATAATTACTTTATATAAATATTAACAAAGTCGGTTTGTAATTTCAAAATAGGTAATATTTTTTAAAATGTAGTGGAGTTACTTTATTTAAATTATATGTAAAAGAAAATAATTTGAATCTCCTCAAACAAGACATCAATGTCTTTCGGTATTTTTAATATATTTATTAGGGATGCACTGATATTTTTTATCGGATCGGATCGGGCCGATATTTCACCCATTTTAAAATATCGGTTATTATAGGCCAATATTAAAAAAATTTCCGATCCGATTCGATATAAAATGGCCTCTTTAACAAAAATAAAATGAAAAATTTTTAAAAATGTTAATCTAAAATCATTTATTTTTATAAATAAAATCGAAATCCATTTTTATGTATATTTTTTTAATAATAATAATTTATTAATAAACATTCTGCCATATTCTTATTTTTTTGCGCATTCTGTTTATAAAAGTGTGCAATAATCTCTTCAGAATCAGTTTTTAGTGAAGCTGGTGATATTGACAGTTACCATCGCCGCAGGCTGACCTTTGATAAATTGGAAATTTTGGTATTTCTAAAAAGAAATCTTCGATATATTAATGTTAAATATTATATTAAATATTTATTTCAAATTTCATATAAATTTGTTTATTACTTATTATGTATATAGATTAATGTATTATTTGTATATAAAAGTGATTTAACAATAAAAATATTTTTTTATATACTTTTAGAATTACAATTGAATTTAATATAAACTATAACTGATCATTATAATATATTTAAATAACATAAGTTATGGTATAGTTAAATTATAGATGTTAT